TTTTGAAATAGGGAGAGACTGCCTCAGTCAGATAATGGAAGAATCCCAGACTCAAGAGATACTGCAGCAGTTGCTGCTCCTGTGAAGGTTGTGCCAGAGACTTTTGCACCTCGCTCATGTAATGCCCTGGTCAGGACACCAGTGATGAGAAAAGACTCTCCAATGGGTGGCAAGAAGATTCTTCTGGCCAGGGATTAATTCAGCAAGAGGTGAGGAATTATTGTGCATCATGCCCTGTCAGAGGACTGGTCCAAATGGAGAGGTGAAAGCACCCATAAGAACATAAGAATGGCCATGCTGGGTCAGACCAAAGGTCCATCTAGCCCAGTTTTCTGTCTGCTGACAGTGACCAATGCCAGGTGCCCCAGAAGGGGTGGACAGAAGACAATGATCAAACAATTTGTCTCCTGCCATCTTTCTCTAGCCTTTGACAAACAGAGGCCAGGGGCACCATTCCTTCCCCCTGGCTAACAGCCTTTTATGGACCTAACCTCCATGAACTTATCTAGCTTTTTTTAAAACTCTGTTATAGTCCTAGCCTTCACAGCCTCCTCTAGCAAGGAGTTCCACAGGTTGATTGTGCGCTGCGTGAAGAGGAACTTTCTACCCATTAATTTCATTTGGTATTGTCCGCAAACTTTGCCACCTCACTGCTTACCCTTTTCTCTAGATTGTTTATGAATAAGTTGAATAGGATTTGTCCTAGGACTGACTCTTAGGGAACACCACTAGTTACAGCTCTCCATTCTGAAAATTTACTATTTATTCCTACCCTTTGTTTCCTGTCTTTTAACCAGTTCTCAATCCATGAAAGGATCTTCCCTCTTATCCCATGTCAACCTAATTTACACAAGAGCCTTTGGTGAGGAACACTGTCAAAGGCTTTCTGGAAATCTAAGTACACTATATCCACTCAATCCGCCTTGTCCACATGTTTGTTAACCCTTTCAAAGAGCTCTAATAGGTTAGTAAGACATGATTTCCCTTTACAAAAACCATGTTGACTTTTGCCCAACAAATTATGATGTTCTACGTGTCTCTCAATTTTATTCTTTACTATTGTTTCCACTAATTTGCCCGGTACTGACGTTAGACTTAACGGTCTGTAATTGCCTGGGTCGCCTCTAGATCCCTTTTTAAATATTGACGTTATGTTAGCTGTCTCCTAATCATTGGGTACAGAAGCTGATTTAAAGGATAGGTTACAAACCACAGTTAATAGTTCCGCAATTTCACATTTGAGTTCTTTTCAGAATCCTTGGGTGAATGCCATTCAGTTCCGGCGATTTGTTACTGTTAAGTTTTTCAGTTTGTTCCAAAACCACCTCTAATGACACTTCAGTCCGGGACAATTCCTGAGATTTGTCACCTACAAAGGCCGGCTCAGGTTTGAGAATCTCCCTACCATCCTCAGCTGTGAAGACTGAAGCAAAGAAATCATTTAGTCTCTCAGCAATGACTTTATCATCCTTGATTGCTCCTTTTGTATCTCGATCGTCCAGGGGCCCCATTGGTTTTTTAGCAGGCTTCCTGCTTCTAATGTACTTAAAAAACATTTTGCTATTACTTTTTGAGTGTTTGGCTAACTGTTCCTCAAAATCTTTTTTGGCTTTTCTTCTTACATTTTTACACTTAATTCGGCAGTGTCTATATTCCTTTCTATTGACCTCACTAGGATTGAATTTCCACCTTTTAAATGATGCCTTTTTATCTCTCACTGCTTCTTTTACATGGTTGTTAAGCCACGGTGGCTCTTTTTTAGGTCTCTTACTGTGGTTTTTTAATTTGGGGTATACATTTAAATTGGGCCTCTATTATGGTGTCTTTAAAAAGTTTCCATGCAGCTTGAAGGGATTTTACTCTAATCACTGTACCTTTTAATTTCTGTTTAACCTCCTCATTTTTGCATAGTTCCCCTTTTTGAAATTAAATGCCAGTGTGTTGGACTGCTGAGGTGTTCTTCCACCACAGGAATGTTAAATGCTGTAATAATATGTCACTATTCCGAAGCAGTCCTGTAATAGATACCTCGTGGACCAGATCCTGAACTCCACTCAGGACTAAATCAAGAATTGCCTCTCCCCTTGTGGATTCCTGTACCAGGTGCTCCAAGAAGCAGTCATTTAAGGCGTCAAGAAATTTTATCTCTGCATCTCGTCCTGAGGTGACATGTACCCAGTCAGTATGGGGATAATTGAAATCCCCCATTATATTATTGAGTTTATTTTGATAGCCTCTCTAATCTCCCTTAACATTTCAACGTCACTATGCTAACGTCTCCACGCATTGAAACTCTGAAGTTCTGCTTGCCTAGCTGCCCTTATACGTGGAACAGGAAGCATTTCTAAGAAAGGCACCATAGAGGTCATGGATTTCAGTCTCTTTCCTAGTAACCTAAATTTGGCTTCCAGGACATCTCTCCTACCCTTCCTTATGTCATTGGTACCTACATATACCGTGACCACTGGCTCCTCCCCAGCACTACACAGAAGTCTGTGTAGGTGCCTCGAGAGATCCGCAACCTAGGGTTAAAGCCCTAACTCAAATTAGCTGGTATTTTTCCTGCAATGAGGTTTACCTGCTAACTTGAATTGGGGGCTTTAAATTGGAATCCCGTTTCACTGCCCCATGTAGACACGGGCAGTTACTTAGGGCTAGTCAATTTCTAAAATGGCGACTGGCTGGGAACATGCAAATCAAGCATGGGATATTTAAATATCCCGCGTCGCCCTTATTAGCCTCCCTAGATCGATCTGGGGGCTAGTGTAGACGTACCCTAAATTATCTTGGTTGTGGAAGAAAACATTGTCCTCACTCTGAGTTTGTAAGCAACAAGTAGCCAGAGGCAGTTTTATTACGAGCTGCAGCAAGGGAAAAACTGGTTCGGACAGGGAGGAAGCCCACTCCCCCCCTCCCCCCCGAGGCAGATCTTCGAATACAAGCAATTATGAAGCAGTTTATATACTGTCTATTAGATATAATAACAATAACAATTAGTCTCCTTCCCATTACAAACACCAATGGCTAACAGTTATTTAGTTCCACCCAGATGCTCCTTATCTCAAGGTCCCTACCAGAGTCAGCATTCTGTCCTTATCTCCGTATGAAGGCGAGAGGCAAAGGCAGCGTCTAATTACAGATCTCGCGTTGTCAGGCCACAGACTTAGCCTGACTCTTGCTCTCTTGTTAACAAGACCAAGATGGCTGCACACAAATTCCCTTATTCCCTTTTCCTGCCTCCACAATCCCCCCTTATATGCTTACAGCACAACTACCTTTCTAAAGTTCTAACCAGCCAATGAGCAAGCAATTCTTTGTTTCAAATGTATCCTGAGATTCTGGGGTGAATAGCATACAACATATTATAATTAATAACCAAATTAGGGAGGGCAGGTACATGCTGATGGTACCTGTCCATAAGCACAGAGTCCAGGTCAAAGAGAGAAACCCAAACCACTCCCACAAGTTTCTCCTTGGCAATATACAATACTTCGCTTCTTTCACCAAGGTCAGTTCTTAATGTCCTTTTGCAGTAAGAAATCTTTGGGCTTTGGCGATGTCAGAGGAGCAGACTTTTCCTCTCTTTTTTTTCTTGAAACAGTCGTGGTTCAGCATCATGCAGGGGAGAGGTTACCAGCACATCACCCTGTAATATTTTGGTTCTTCTGGTGTCCAGCAGGTAGGAAAGCAGGACCAGAAGAGAGAGGCTTATCAGCAATCGGGGTAGGATCATTTCGAGATGGAGGGATCTTTTTGCAGTGAGAACCATTGGCCAAC